ATTACCATTTTTCAAAAAGTTATTCAATTGTTAACTAACAAATTTTTTCCCAATCTCCATTGGCACTTAAATATTAATATTTTTTGAGTTATTAATGAAAAATTAAATACCATTTTTTAAATCTTAATTTGTTAATAACAATTGCAATTTTTTACCTGCACCAAAATCCTTCAAAAACATTATTCTAGAGGTGATTCCGAATCGAATGAGCTATCGCCCATATTTTTAGGACCTTCATCTCTATTTTTCATGTTTTTGAACTTGTTGATTAGACAACAGGTCATCCGTCCATTCCGGAAGAACAGCAAGTGTAAATAATTGGTGAGATGGTAGTAAATCCTGAACAGTCTATCACAGTTTTGTGGAGGCTAATAACATGCCAACGTTATCACATCGTTAAAATGCGTGTTTACATTTTTTTTAACTCACCGGTGCTGTAGAGGTTAGCCAGCTCCTGGGCCCCCTTGTGCTGCGGCCCCCACCGGGGCCCCAACCTCTTCTTCGGAGCCACGTCGCAGTTGGCGTTCGGATCATCTTCCAGCATGGAGTTCAAACGAATCTGCTGCTCGGTCTTCACGGGCGCCAATAGATTAGTCGCCATGGTGCAGGTAATTGGGTACACCAGGTCTTCCTTGACCCTGGGGGAGCAACTGAGAGGAGGCAGGGCCATCGAGAGTGTTTACTAAGTCACTGGTAGATCACAGACGAATTACAGGCGTCGCGACGGCAGAGCATCGTGGATGGTGAGCGTCTGGACGCACTGACCTAGAATAACAGAGAGGAGGTTGGTGATTGGGCCGAACTAAGATAACAAAAGGTCATTATGAAGACGAGTGCTTTCCGGTTCAAACTGACGCGAGTGTCAAAGGAAGTGACAAATTAATTTGAAGGGTCGGATATTTTGTGTTTGCAACGTTACAGCGGGCACATTAATTTTATTGCATTCAACATAAAATGTAAAGTGAGTAAGACGCATGAAATTCAGATATTGTAATCACTTGAACCCATTCTTGATGGAGATGGATATATTTTCAAATGTATGTCATGGAGAGCACAAATATTCAATTATTGCTAAGGTACAGTCAAAAAATAACCAAATAATCACTGCAAAGATTTCAAAAAAGTAGGAAGAGATAACGTTGAGTTACTCCCTACATAAAATATGAAAAAGTTATATCGATTAAGTGAGTAGCTCCTGATTAGTTAATTTTCATTCCTGCACGCACAAAATAAATTAAATAATTTCATTTCTTTTATATAATTGAGGTTGTACGAGTATAAGACTAGTCAAGTAATATCATACTAGAACATGTGTACTACAAGGTATAGTAGTTAAACCAAAAAAAATAATAATAACATTACAAACAGAAAAGACTACGTGTATATACACGTACAGTACCATATGCTATATTATAATCAAAATAATAATGAATTTTATTAGTTCCAAGAAACATTACATGGTTAAAGTAATGACAATATAACGCACATATTGATCTTCCTCTTAAAGATGATCACTTGGTGATCTAAACACGTGTCGAGGTGTTAAAATAACGTTTTGGTGTTGGGATAAAACGCCAGTAATATTCATTACTACATCAAAGGTCCCAAACAGTGCATCACAAATTTGAAAAGTATTTATGTTTAAGTTTTTTACTAAAACGATCGAAATGCCACACGTCCACAATCTAAGCGATCTATATCAAATCGTTGGTGCGCTCATCAACAGCTTCCACCCCCCAGTCCCAATAAGAGGTGCTAATGCTCAGCTGCCAGCACTTTAGGAACATGTGCGCATGTTGCCAGTGTTTTGTGGTCTCTTGGTCACGCTCGACATGACCCCAACAATCGATACCCCTCAAGTTTCCTACTGAACTCAATAATAGACGCGGAAAATACACCACAACAGATGGTTCCTGATGGTGCGCTTAAATAGTTGGGTAGTGAAACTGTGACGTCATGATGGTGAATAAACTTCTTACAATTTATTTGAATAACACCTCAAAAAACCCTACACCGGTATGTAGGTGGTCATTTTGGATGCATGACATTTCGTCTGAAGTCTAATTCTTTATTGCGATATAAATCACTTGCATTCTTATTCTTCATTGCAATTGAATCAACTGTAGATTCAATGATTGTAATAGGAGATTTTTATCAGTCATGTAAGAATATCTTATGCTCTATTCAGTGATAACTATATAAGACCTACCCCTCATGACCTATCATGGTCATGCGGGGATTTCCACAGGGAGGGGTCTTACCACCCCTTCTTTGGAACATAGTTCTGGATACCCTGATTAATCACCTCAACAATAATGAATTCTACACAATTGCATATGCGGATGACATAGTTATCTTGCAGACCAGCAAATTCATAAACACCCTCTGCGATAGAGCGCAGGATGGGCTCAAATCAATAGAAAAATGGTGTAAGGAACACTCACTGTCGATTAATCCCAAGAAGACTGTGATGGTCCTTTTCACAAGGACAAGTAGTTCATCGGGCTTGAAACCTCCCAAAATCTTTAAAAGCGAACTAAACTTCTCTGAAGAGGTGAAATACCTTAGTACTACCCTCGACAGGAAGCTAACATGGAACTCTCACCTACGAAGTAAAGCAAAAAAGATCATATGTGGCTTATGAGCAATTTCGGAGGACAGTGGGACGCACATGGGGTCTTTCACCCCGTGTGGTCACCTGGAGCTACACTGCAATAATAAGACATATGTTAACGTACGGAGCCATTGCATGGGGACCGAAAGTTCTACAAGCAACGGCCATTCAAAAGTTATATCAAATACAGCGACTGGCTTGTTTAAACATCACAGGAGCCATGAGAACAACACCTACCGCGGCAATGGAATCAATTACTGGTCTGACCCGTCTGGAGGTTGCGTTAATGGGCATGTTACGATTGCGCACGACTTGGGTGAACCTCGAAGTTGGAATGGTTCAATTGAGGCTGAGCCTATGGCGAGAAGCGCTTACTGCGCAATCTCTGCTGCAGGCAGCCAGTAATGCAATTAAACCCTGGTTTATGATCCCTCCAAAATACAAATGAAACAGAACACAGTCAGATGCTATATACAAATGCGATACACATATATACATACAGCTCAAAAAACAAAGAAGGCTCAGGATGTGGAGTTGACTCCGAATCTCTAAGTCTAAAAGTGGGGAATGGGAACAAATACCAGCGTGGTTCAAACAGAACTGGCTGGTATCTCAATCGCCACAAAAGAAATAACCAGGAAAGGAATTTCTGGCAAAAACATAAAAACCTGCACTGGTAGTAGATAAGCCCTATTAGCCTTGAACAGACAACGAGTTACCCCATGGCTATTATAGAGTGTCACCAAGATTTAGCCAAAGCCTTGGTATATAATAACGATATCCTTAGGCTGCACCTATATTGAATTCGTATTTCTCCCGACCCGATGTAGTCCGACCATCGGACGACATCGGAAGAAAAACAAACACTCAAGTTTTAAAGGCTGTACCTATATTGAATCCGTATTTCTCCCGACCCGATGTGGGACGATCATCGGACGCCGCGCGATCCGATGCAGTCCGTTGTAACTGCCTACACTGGACTCTAACAGCTGTTGCAGATTACCGTTGTCGCTTTATTTTTGTAGATGTAGGAGGGTATAGAAAACAGAGTGACGGAGGAACTTTTTCCGCTTCTACTTTGTTTACGTTCCTGGAGAACTGTCATGCTACTTTACCGCCACCTTCACCTGTTGAAGGAATTGCTACAGATATGCCATATGTGATGCTTGGAGATGATGTCTATTTTTTAAAAACTTATCTAATGAAACCTTACTCAAAACGACATCTCTCATACGAAGAGAAGGTTTTTAATTATCGGCTATTAAGAGCTAGAAGATGCGTAGAGTGTGCCTTTGGAATTATGACCGCTAAGTGGCGTTTACTAGGAAAATGTATTGAAAGCGAGGTTGAAAAAGCAGAGAGCTCACTACGCAATAAAATTATTGAGTGTGAAGGTGGTGACTTTTTCAGCTCTGCGAAATTACAAGACCGTTTGATCGAATCACCACTTCATCAGAGTAGTTCATCAAGAAGGTTCAACCGGCCATTGCAACAGGCTCAATTCATTGGAAACACATTCAAACTGTACTTCAACGGAATCGGGGCAGTTCTGTGGCGAAACAAACGGATTGAGTGACATCAATTAATTATTTTTCTATTTGATATTAACTAATTTAATATTACTAATATGTGGTAATTTCAAACTTAACATTAAAAAACATAGTTTATACTTACGTTTTACCAGTAATTGGTCCCCAATAACCTCCCATAGTTTAGGCTCAATGTCACGGTTATGATAATCCTTGTTTCGCTGGTCCCACAAGCGAAGCTCATCTCTTACAAGAATTATCAAAAACTCTTTATCAATTTTATTATTCATTATTACCACCCCGTCGGAATGAAAGATCGGACTAAAAAACTAAAAACAAACACTTTTGATTTGACTACTCGTCGGTCAGTAATCGGTAGTAATCGTTTATTGTCGTATCGGACTACCCTTTCCAATAAAGGCACCTACTTTAAAACTTAAGTGTTGTTTTTCTTCCGATGTCGTCCGATGGTCGGACTACATCGGGTCGGTAGAAATACGGATTCAATATAGGTGCAGCTTTAGGTGGGTTAAAGGGCACGACAGGAGTGAAGGTAATCGCATTGCCGACTCTTTAGCCATGGAAGCGGCTGGATTAAGAATTTTAGGACCCATTAACACCTACGGCCTGATGACTTCGATAATTGCGGAACTAGCCAAACGTCACATCTATGCTCAATCCCTAAAGAGATGGGATGGAATCAAAGGCTGTAATATTGCCAGGATCACCTTGTGCGACCCTGGGAAATTGGCACCGAAAAAATATCTGGCGATCACCAGGAAAAACCTACGCTTAACAGTAGGTGTCCGGAGTTATCGTCAATAAGAGGGTGTGTTCGGCGAGTCTTGGCTTACACCTGCCGATATAAAGGAGATGTCTCCTAGTGACCTATCCACCTTTCTGGAAAGGAGAGGATGGACGATGACCTAGGAAGGCAACTCCTCGGATATATGTAAAATAGGTCTAAGTGTTGTGGACCTACACTCACCCTCCCTACTCTACAGATACAGAAGACCTACCCTACACTAATGAGGGGAAAACCCTGAAAAAAATGTACTTGCTGAATTGATTCGAGTCAGTCCAGTAGCTGTTCTGTTACTTACCATTATTTCTGTTTTCTCTGAATCAGATCATATATTTGAAATCGTGCTGAATTCATGTTATGTACTTACTTTAATTCATATTTCAGCATAATTCATATTGTTACCGCAACTGTCAGTTGCGGTAACAATTTGTTGAAGACAATGGCACTTATGAAGACGTGAATATAAACCAAAGCATTCCTATCTATAATTCTTCATCTTTCATTATTAGAACGAACTGTGAAAACATTCGATGGTGTAAAACAGAAATATCTTTCTCTCATGTACTATGAGTAACATCAGTAGCATATGGGTCTGCAGAAATATGAATATTTTCTCGAAAAAAGATCGATAAAAATTACCAAAAACAAACTTTAACCGTCTGTATACCCGCCAGTTTTGTTTCTACAAACTTTTGTCGTTCGACCTTTTTGATGCACATTTTGTGAACTGTTCCGTTATGAAAATTCAGATCGATACGATGAAAATTAAATTCCTGATTTTTGAAAAATCGTCAAAATATCAAATTTTGAATTGATCCCCTGTAGAATCCAAACGCCGGAATTCAGAGAGTTGGCGTAATGGTAACTTTTGGGCTACATCATATTGAAATTTCAGCGATTTTCACTGAAACCGGTTTTCCATAAGATTAGTGTGGAGTCCTCTGCTTTTGTGTGGTTGTGAAACTATATTTTGTATTTACCGTGTATTAATTATAA